GAGGTATTGTTATCAAGTGGATAAGGTAAATCTATAGTGAGACATCGCGCGTTTTYGTTAGCAAAACATAAGAATGGACATGATGTACATTGTCGGTTTTGCAACAATAATGTAGACAAAACATAAAGAAACCCTTTCGTATGGTGCAAGATCAACAAGAGCTTTTTGAAGTGCGTAGTACTAGTCTAAGTAATAATACCAATCGGAAAATATAGTACTTTGGACGACATAATTGATCAATGTCGGAACTTCTGTGATAAAGTTTGGACAACATGCCCGCAAATCCACAAAAACATCAACAAAGGAAGCAAGCACACGGCGAAAAACATATAAAAACATATCTTAGCAAATGAACGTTTTTTTCAACCAAACATTGCTTTGTATTTTCTAAATCGAAAAAAGACAGATGTAAAAGTCCTTCCAGTGTTACCATGGCAATTGATRTAYACAAGAGACTATTACATAAGTRCTCAACTGGCTTGYTGAAAACTGATTGTTTTAATTGAAGTCCTTAATATCAAGGTGTTCAAGTATAATATAGGGCTGCTGCAAATTAACTAATTAGAAGTTTAATTGATTGTTTTGCTCTGATAATATGTCAAAAACAAGGGCCATGAGCTTTAGGGGTATTTTGGCGTCGAGAGCATTTTGAAAATAAATATGATTGAATATATTGAGGAGTTATGGTTATTCAGTTTGGGCATTTCTAGGTAAGTAAGCATTTTGCATAGTTTTCTTTTCATTCTAATTTCATAGGCGGTGCTTTCAGAGAGAGAATCGAGAAAGTTTATATGTTTCGCTTTTGTACGCTTACTTTTAAATACACATCTCAAAATCGGCTAGAAGAATTTCATTGGTTTTGAGATTATTTTTGGTTTTGTCGATTATTTGTTATATCCCACAGTCCTGTTTATATTTTATATTTTTTAAATTACAAATAAAACCATGTTTAAAAAACTTTCAACCAAGTACGACATTGTTTGTTTCTTTGAGGATCGGAAAATCGAGTCAGATCAAGTTGGCCGAACGTCCGTTCGGTGATCATGGGTGATGCGAACCGGCATGAGACAACTTTCAAAATTCCCCTCTTTGTAAAAACATGAAGTATTTAGCGCGTATACAAAGTAAACATCCGTTTGAATTATCGTTGTTGTCTAAAAATAAATCACTTTTGCTTTCCCTTAAAAGAGCAGACGAAAAATCTTACTCGCATAAAGGTTTCCGATTTGTGAAGGGAAGAGTGACAATTGAGTGAGATTAACAATGAAGTAAATCTTATTGACTAAAAAAACACTTGAATATTTGCAACGAAAGATCTGTTCATTAAAACGTGAAAAACATACGCCCTCTTCTTAACAGTAAGTGGGTTTCGACGAGAAGAGAACCTTCCTTAAGTCACTAGTCAACGATTTGCTTGCTGTGTCTGAATCCTTTTATCGCTAAAGAAGAGGTCTTTGTCCATTAGTATTGCTAATTTATCAAAGCAAACCATTTATAATCTTCGAGATGAAGGTCTTCTGGGCGGTGATCTTGGTTATCGAATCTGTCTTGATAATCACCGGGAATATCATGGCAATAATAGTTTTTCTCAAGAAGAATTTCGCTGTGGCAAGGTCATCATACATGCTGGTCAACCTCACTATTGCCGATGTCCTCGTTGGAGTAGCCGTGTTTCTGACCTTTCTGGAATTGACTTTCTCCAGTCAATACATGTTCTCAGCATGCATCGGAGAAACCGTCAATCGAGTTGCTCAAAGCGTGTCTCTTTTTGCCATGTTCGCATCCTTGGTCTCGATGGCACTAACCGCGTTGGAAAGAATGATGGCTATACTATTCCCTTTTCGTTTACGAAATGCGAAAGACTTGCACTATGCTGTTGCTATTGCCATATCTTGGTGTTTATCGGTTCCTTTCGTGTTCCTACGTCTCATCAACGTCTGTTCCGATACGAAAGCAAGAAAAGTGACAAATCGTTTACTGTTAATCCTTCAAGCAGTGGCCATCATTACAATCATATTGTCATATGCCGCCATTTTTGTCAAGGTGAGGTTTTTCCCGGAATTTCAGTCTTCTTCATCGATGAAAAAAAACATCAGACTTGCCAAAACGTTGATGATGACGGCTGCCATCGCCATTCTCACATGGATGCCAAGATTTGCTGGAAAGATCTTCAAGGAAGTCAGTTCCAGTTTGCAAGACATCGATGTGTATCTCACACTGTTGGTAATAATTTACAGTAATTCCTTCTTAAATCTCTTAGTCTACGCTTGGCGCATCCCAAACTTCAGTAAAGAGATAAAGAAGCTGTTTAAATGGGGATGGTTTTCCAGAAATGAAGTGGTACCTTTCACTGCTTCCCAGTCACCCCAGCCTTGTCAACCTTACTGCCAAAAGCAAATTGCTGAGAGCGATGTTAAGAACAATGATCTTCCGCGTATTAAACTTAAGTCCAACGAAGTGTCTAAACCGAATGGAGGAGAACCATAAAGTCCTGCAGTGAAAATCTCGGTGAACTGCTAAAAGAAACGCTGCTTGTAAATATCTAATGCTAAACGACACTCATTGTGCCATAATCATTGGATCATCTCATGGATCCTGATTGATTCAGATTATATACTTTATAGGATAGAGTTTTTAACTTGTTTTGATGCCGATTGTAGGAAGGTGCATGAATAGGATAACAGGAGGAGTCGACGGAGTTTGTTCTTCTAAATAACAGTTCTTGTACGAAGTTTTCCCTGGGAAAGGGATTTTGAGCTAAATTGTTGACAATCTCACAAAGCAAATGTGGCGCCCCTTCCTTCTTTAAAATATTTTTGTTCCTGCCAAACCAAGGCAAACATTTTTATGGTCAAAAACGGCTAATATTTTTAGAAAGTATTCCTTGCCTGGAGAGTTCTCATTTTCCAGAATTTCTCTCTGGCAACTAGTTGTTACTTACAGCTCGCAGACACATTTCTCCCAGGAACCCGTCTAGCTGCTCCTGCTAGGATAAGAATTCTTAAACAGCTTATAATGTTTTATACTGGGTGAGGATTTATGCATGCGATGGATAGTGCTTTGTGCTCTTTAGTGCTATGCACTGTTAATCCCGTGTCTTCTACGCGAACCGGCAAAAAATCTTTAATCTCAGTTGTACACATTCAAATTTATGATTAAAGGAGTTTAGTTGCACAGTTTTGTCGTCTGTTATTCATATTTGTTATATATGTGGTACTATACTTCAAGTTAATCCCCATATGCGAGAGATAATACGAATTGAGGTCCGAATTTGGGGAGGACACATAGTGCTCAAAATGAATTTTATATCGAGTGAATGAAAATTATAAGTAGTGTCATTTATTTAATAACTCTGTATGGACGAGAGTGTATAGCTATCAACTCAAGTCAAATTTTCAGGATAAAGTAGAATGTTTGGAGGGGTTAACCTGCGCATGTGTGAAGAAATGAAGGGAACATCATTCTCTTCTTCTATGTATCACCCATTTTTCTGTCATGCATTCCCGAACTAGAAAACCCGTCCACATATGCTAGACTGAGAAGTGTCTACTCCATGAGAGACATGGAAGACTCGGGCAAATATGGACAATTTGATATAACTTGCTTTTCATCCATAACGTTGATTGTATGTATTTGACAGTTAAATGGAAGACAAGCCAAGTTACTTTTGAGGGGTTAGAGCGGACATCGTACGACGGTGCAATTTCGGGCCGTCAAGGAGAAGTAAAAACTTGGATCAGAATTTTTGGCTTAACTAGGCGAGACTCCCTGTCGTGTCCATGCTACTTGCCTTTGCACTGTCGTAGGAAATCCACTACTGTCGCTCACGTTTGTGGTCGAGGTTTTTGTGATTTCAATCAATAAAGTATTGACGAACATTATCATTAGCATGTTGGAGGTGATCATGAAACGAGAGACCAAGGCACTCTACCAGAGGTGAAAGGATTTGCAGTATTACCATATGTCCAAAATGTAACAGAGAGAATCAGCAGAGTCCTATCACAACATAACATCAGAGTAGCGAGTAAACCAGTTAATACCATTAGACGCATGATATCAAGACCAAAAGATAAGCTTGAAGACTCAAAGAAAACCGGAGTCGTTTATAAAATCCCTTGTGCTGACTTGTCCTACAGTTTATATTGGTGAAACAGGGAGGTCGCTACAAACACGACGAACAGAACACCAGAGAAGCGTGAGACTGGCTTACACCGATAAGTCTGCCTTATCCGAGCATGCCAACACCCTACATCATGATATTGACTGGGATGGGACTGAAGTACTAAGAACAGAACCTAGATGGCATCAAAGGAGGTGGCTGGAAGCCCTACTGATAGCCAATACCAACTCAGTCCTGTCAAACAGAGACACTGGCAGAACAATACCAGAAACATACAAACCATTATTTAAGTTTAGGCCGCTTAGGCCGAAAGCTCGGTATTAAAAATATCACTAGTAAACGCAGAGGACTCATTCATTTTTAGAGATTATCATTTATATTTGCTCATCATAATCCCTGTTGAATTTTTAAGGGCATTTGCCAAGAACGTTGGATGTCCAGAGGATCTCAGCAAACTTAGAGACTGCTTGGAACCCAAGGACGCCATGGCGATTATAAATGCTTCCCTTGCAGTTCCATGGCCCAATTTCGTTCCAGTTATTGATGATCATTTTCTTGATGGTAGGTCTTTGACATATACTTCGGGTATGTTTCAAGTATGATTCGGGTGAGATTCATAAGGCGCTCATATGAAATAAAATATACATTAGTCACTTTGTAGTTTATTTACAATACGTAGAATCAAACGTATGAAATTTAGGACTGTAAAGAAGACAACTGAAATATCACAGCACGTTGCAAAGACCTGCATTCTATTATATGTGAGAACGTATATCCACTTAGTTAATACAGCGAAACATCTTGGCAGATACACCTAATTGAAGAAACTTGTCGGGCCTAAAAAGGTCAAATCATAGAAGCTAAGACCGTAAGGGTACTTGGGAAGACAAACAATTTGGCTAACTTAATACAAACAGCTCTCCAGCATAAAAGACTAGCATGCTGTTAATCTTACTAGCTCTACCTGCTTTACGGTACACCGTATAAGCAAATTTAATCCCAATTCAGTGGTACTCAAAATCCCTGTCGGTCTTAGCTTATATGATGTGACCTTTTCGAACACGACTACGTTTTTTCATCTTGAAGCACCTTTCTTAGGAACATCTTGACAGATCCCACTGACTCATAATTCATGTTTAGATGACCCAAAGATCCTGTACCAAAAGCAAGACTTTGAGAAATACGACATTATGATTGGAGTTACAAACGACGAAGGAACGGTCTTTACGAATGCCGTTGCAGGTGATTTCCAGGAATTCCATTGTTTTACTTTTCTCCTTGGTCAACAGAAAGAACAGAAGTATTTCAAACTAGTCCTGACCCCCTATAAAATATCCCTGGTACCCATAGAGCACACCATTAGAGTACGGTTTTAATCAGATCAACACTCAAAACTATTTAAAGCAATCATCAAATTTCCCCAATGACTGTTACAGTACCCTATACAATATAAAACTAAAATTATGAAATTTTCTTGAAGTTGATTAATAAGTCTTATCTTATTGTCAGAAATAACTATTTGTGTGCTTTCTAGGTTTGGGTGAGGGCTTAAACGTAACCAATGGTGTTTCAAGAGAAGTATTCGTCGGTGTGATCAGAGGAGGAGGATTGAGTACGGTAATACCAGATCCTAAGTCGGTTTTGATAAATGCTTCTATTCACGAATACACTGACTACACCCAAGTCTCAAGCCCAATCACAAATCGTCGTATGTACATGGATATGATGGGTGACGTAGGATTTGTGGCTCCTGCTATAAGAGGTGCCAATGCATATGCGAAGAAGAAAGCAGTGACATATTTTTATTCTTTTGATCACCGCCATGGGGATGCTGTTATGGGTTCGAAAGTTCCATCTTGGGTGAGAGCTTACCATGGAGCAGACATTTCTTTTGTTTTTGGTGCTCCGCTCCTAGACCCCGCAACGACGCCAACCGACGCAAACTTTACTCGCGACATCCTGAAGATGTGGACGAATTTTGCCAAAACAGGGTAAGCATCAGTGAGTTATCAAAAACGTTTTTCATCGCCCTACAGTGAAGAGAGAAGAGAGTGAGATCATAGCGGTAGAGAGTACTTGAAGCGAGGTGCTAGACCATACATCTATATGATATACAGCAACATTAACTTACATTCTCTACCGCCACCGATTCACATACATTCTTTACCGCCCATTCACATACATTCTCCACCGCCCCATTCACATACATTCTCTACCGCCCCATTCACATACATTCTCATATAACTTTCAATTTGACGAACTGTTTGCCGATTTTTAAATCATCAGATACACGACTCTACCAGTAAGAGGGCGGAGATGATAAATAACCCAGCACTGAACCCTTCCCCCTATCCGACACTGCACAATATCGTAATAAAACTCTCTGTAGTCTAAATACTGTGATCTTACCCTAATCCATCCATTTGTTTTGCTCAGGGATCCCAACAAACCAGATAGTTTGGGCGTTACCTGGCCTGTATACACGCTGGAGGAACAGAAATACATGTCATTGAAACCCAACATGGCGGTACACAGCCATCTTCGTGCCAATTACATAGCATTCTGGAATGAGTTCGTTCCCAACGCCCTCCACGCGGCGCGTCGCCCTAAACAGCACCCATGTGGTAGAGGTGAAGATAGAAAGGCTACAGGTATTATATTTAATTAAAAATTAGTTTGTCTAAATATCACAGGAAAAATCGCGCGATTTAAAGGTCGTAAATTTGATGTAAATATGATGTAGCTGTCCAAAATTCTGTAAATTTGATGTAAATGATTTCCATTAAATTTACAGAATTTTGGACACTTACAACATATTTACATCAAATTTACAACCTTTAAACCGCGCGATTTTTTCCAGTGTATGGTGTTTAGTAACCAGCAAATGGATTGGTATTTGCACAATACATAGTATGTTTTTTTGTCTTTATATTTGACATTTTACTCTTGATGTTTTCAGCTGCCTTGGTTCTTATGTTGTCACTGCTCACTACCTGGTTTTAAGTCTACAACGATCACCTTTTTTATAAATTCGACGCTGCACTCGACTAAAATAATTGCCTGTGAAACTGGTCTTCGTCGTTGTGAGATATGATCGATTCTCCGTTATACACCACCCCGAATTTTGCTCTTCGGCATAATTTTGAGAGATGCTATAACGCGGCGTTTTCAAGGGCTAGTAACACTTGTTCATACAAGCATTTGACTTTTCGTGAAATAATCTTTAAAGCTAGTAAAAATATGAAAAGTCTAATGACTATTACGTACACGGGGCTAAAAAAATGACTCGCAACGAAAATCGAGGAAAGTTCCACAAGTAAGTTATGCTTATGTTTTACTTTATGCTGTCGTCGAGCAACAAGCACAGCTTCACTTTCCACTGATATCCCATCCTGCTGATGGTTTAGATGTAGTTGACTTCCCCTTCCTGTCTGCCCGGGTCCCGGCTTTGGGTCGACTTCGGCTCTCAGTTCATTAAAGAGCTTTCGTTTTCATGTTCGCTTCAGTGGGGTATGGGCACTTGACCATTATATAGTAAGCACCCGTTGAATATGAATAAAATCAGCCTGAACTTCAAAAATGGGTGTTCTTATATTCGGGGCTTGCTGAAATGAAGATTATTGGACTAGTTACCACAGCGTAAAAGTATGGAAAAACTTTGTTTTAAATTTTCAATTTAAGGTCTTGTAAAACTTGTTAAATCAATGTTTCCACATACATACATACATAGTTATTAGTTAGAACTATATGGAATGCACAATAAAACATTTTTCACATTTTATTCTCATATGAAATGATACAGATCCAGCTCTCTCAGAGTCTCTATCACAACTAAAAACACGTTTGATGTGGCTTCGAGGCTTTTCATGTAACCTCAGTTTCAAACGATGACGAAGAACACCCTTCACTCCCTACACCACTTCCAATGTCCAGTGGAACGTTTTTGGGTCCAATTTGGTCCAAAAGCAACCAATAGGCGCGATATGTAATAGAAGTAATTTCTATGGCCATGATTAGCTCATGATTCTAAAATTTAGAAGTATGGGCTGARCCATTTAGAACACGTGAACCAGGTGAAATATCAGTCAGAGCGCAGCCGTCTTCCTTTGAAACGCTGCCCCTCAAAYGTTGCATGATTACGACGAATTTATTAAACTTCAAATTTTTACTCATGAAGAATGGTGCAGACGGACCGAGGGAGTTTTTTCTGGTATACGTTTTATCTATTATTGTTATCTTTTTTTAAACAGCTATATTATTATATAAATTCTTAATAAATTCTATTGTTTAGTATTTATTATTATGACTTCAATCTATTTTTGTTCGTGACGTTACAATTTTTAAGTGACGTAAACATATTTCTTATGTTAGTAATGATTGCCGACTTGATACACAAGGATCTGGGGTTATATAAGCATCGATCGCGACGTCGAGTAGTAAAGATGTCCATACTGGTTCTTCTTGTTGCTATTTTAGCAGTTACCCCTTTGGTCAATTCCATTGAATTCACATCTGTGGTAAAGATCGATAGTGGTCAACTTCGAGGCTACATCAGAGTAGTAAACAACACTGGTGGGCTCAAAGTCAGAGGATACCTTGCAATACCATTTGCAAGGGCCGAACGGTTTCAGCCCCCGGAGCCTCCAAAATCATGGGACGGTGTTAAAGACATGGTGACACTCGGAAAAGCTTGCCCACAAATGCTTAGTGCTTTCGGTTCTCCAACGAGAGAGGACATCAGTGAAGATTGTTTGCACCTCAATGTCTATGTCCCTGATGACATCTCGAATAGCTCAGCTTTGCCTGTCATGGTGTGGATCTACGGCGGGGCATTTGTAGTAGGTGCCAATCGCGTATATGATGGGGGGAACATCGCAACGCGCGGTAAAGTAGTCGTGGTAGCCATCAACTATCGKGTGTCGGTCTTCGGGTTTTTAACCAATGGTAAAGACGGTGATATCAAGGGTAACTATGGTATGTTGGATCAGGTTGAGGCACTGAAATGGGTCMAGAAAAACATCGCAGCGTACGTATAATGCATTTGTTTTATTTTTAAAAGAAGTGCAATCGGTTTTGCTGTTCTTTTTCCTTTAAAACGTCCATTACGAAACAAAAACGCGCATTAAATTTCTCAACACAAATATTAGTCTTACARGCTTTAAATGTCGTCACGCTAACCGTAGCTCTTATAGAATCGCGTGACTCTCTAAACGGCTTCACTTCTAATGGCACCGCCAAGAGAATGGCTGAGGATATTTTCTGTACAGCTAAAAACTACCGCTCTTTAGTATCGAACCCCGTGACAAGAAACCAAAGGTACCCGAAATAAAAGTTATAATATGAATTGATTTAGATGGCTAATAAAGTTATAACAGTCTTTCATTACTTAGATACTATTTTGGKTATTTTTTCTGTACATGTGAAAACCTCCCGCTAATTTAGTGCAACGAAGACTTTGAGCGGGAGCCGATCGTCACGCAAAGTCTGACAAGAAACCAAAGGTGCATCAAATAAAAAGTTAAAATATGGATCGAAATCTTTTTTAGACTGCTAATAAAGTTATAAATGTTTTCTTAAGAACTGCCCACTAATCCTAAAAGATTACAAAGAATTTTGATATTTGTGTTATATGACTTTGTGTAATCGTGTGCAATGCTGCTCGTCACATATTAAGCCTTTAAGGAACGGYGTCAGTTTGAGGCAGTATGTTTGACCTCGAGAAGCCCGACAAATAGCCCCTCTCCTCCCCTCCCTCGGCAATATCATGCCACTCATTATCTCTCAATTGTTGATTTATTTTGGCAATCACAGGTTTAATGGTGACCCCAATCAAGTTACCATATTTGGAGAGTCTGCTGGGGGTGCCAGTGTATCTTTGCTGTTGTTATCAAAGCTTACCAAGGGACTTTTTCAACGAGCTATTCCACAATCTGGAGATGCATCAGCTGGCTGGGCTAGTGGAACCTATGAGAGCCGTACCAAATCAATGAAGTAAGTACAGTTCCGTAATTAAGAAATATAAAACGGAGCGCGTGCCTCTGTCCTCTGATATAAACACCGTGGGAGTTCGAAAAACACAAGAGAAGCAAGCTTAGGAACACGAGCGTAGCGTGTTTATATCAGAGGACAGAGCCACAAGCGGCCGTTTTATATTCTTTTMTAAAATTTTTCGAGCGAAAAGAACATTTTGCCGGTAAGCCGTGTCTCTGTCCTCTGATATAAACACGGTCGTCAAATCAGAGCGCGCGTTATATATCAAAAATTTTATAAATGGTTAATAAAGAAGTGCTTGAGTGAATTAAAGTGGAAAAGCATAGTATTTCAACTTAGGCCAGGAYTTCCTATGCTCCTAACCAGTAAAGTATCTACGAATATTATCAGTTCTAGTAGAGTGAGTTCATTGAACCCGTGAAACAAAATTTGACTATTAAAGTTTGATGCAGTTAGAGCATACTAAGATGCATTAGGGCAATATCTATTTTCACGGGCGGATTTTTTACATCACTTTATGGCATAACCTTTTTTGGTGATTTTGTCTTTTAAGGTTATTTGCTGACAAAGTTGGATGTCACGATGATCTTAGAAAACTACGAGATTGCTTGAAGCTCAAGGACGTCATGGAAATCATAAATCCATCTATTACAATTCCTGGATGGCTTCCTGTCATCGATGGTCATTTTCTTCATGGTAGGTATTTGATATACCTTTTAGGTCCTAATTACATTTAGACCTTACTGGCCCTTGATCTACAATGACAACGATTTATAGTTCGCATTTTGCTAGAGACAAGTTGTGAAATTTTAGATGATATCCTTTTATGGTATATCTAATTGCCTGGTGCGAATAACTTTGGAAGATACATGTTTCTAAACCATTCTTAATCCATGTTTACAGATGACCCAATGGTCCTGTACAAAAAAGGAGACTTCGAGAAATACAACATTATGATGGGTGTGACAAACGACGAAGGAACAGTCGCTACCAATGCTGCTGGAGGTATTTCCAAGAATTCGAATGCCTTATTTTTCTCCTTACCTTGGAAAATATTTATTTCGAAGGCTTGAAGCAGTGAATAAGTGATGTCCATAGAAGAAAGACGGATGCTCTTTAGTGTGAAATTGAATTTATGAAATATAAAACCAAAAAGATGATTTCTTTTCTTTTCTAGCTTTGGGTGCAGGTTTAAACGTAACCAATGGTGTTTCAAGAAAAACTTTCCTCGCCTTACTCAGACTAGGAGGATTGAATTCTGTAATACCAGATCCAAAATCGGTTTTGATAAATGCTACCATCCACCAATACACTGACTATAACAACGTATCAAGCCCCATCACAAATCGTCGTATGTACGTGGATATGATGGGTGACATAGGATTTGTGGCTCCTGCTATAAGGGGTGCCAATGCATATGCTAAGAAGAAAGCACCAACCTATTTCTACTCTTTTGATCATCGCTATGGTGATGATATCATGGGTTTCAAAGTTGCACCTTGGGTGAGGGCTTATCATGGAGCAGATGTCACCTTTGTATTTGGAGTTCCGCTTTTGAATAGCTCAACGACACCGACGGACGTAAATTTTACTCTTGACATTATTAAATTATGGACTAATTTCGTTAAATCAGGGTAAGCAACGGCCATTTTGTGATCCAAGGAATCGAGAAACGTGCAGAGGGTTCTCGTTTCTTAGTGTTTAAATCATGAACAGTACCCTTAGTTTTCTCGAGGCTCCTGGATCCAGTTCCCATGAAAGATTTCGCAATGATTCTGTATTCCATCATTGGATTCCGAATTCCAAAATAAAACGTCCTAGATTCTATCCGTTTTTTTCCGGATTCCTACTGTTTGAAGTATTCCCTTTTCCATTGTCAAGGATTCAGGAGTGCAAATGTCTGCGTTCCAGATTGCAAAACCAAACTTTTATTGGTTTCCATATCATGTCTATCATACCATGACTAGAAAAAGTATTTGTTTTTGTTTAGAGATCCAAACAAACCAGATAGTTTGGGCGTTACTTGGCCTGCATACACGCTGGAGGAACAGAAATACATGTCATTGAAACCCAACATGGCGGTCAACAGTCACCTTCGTAGTGATTATATGTCATTCTGGAACTGGTTCATTCCCGAAGGTCTCCGTGCGAACGCGAAACCTGGACCGTGTCCTACATGCAAACCGCTTGCGTGTGGTAGAGCTGAAGACAGAAAGGTTACAGGTAATGCAGTGAATTCAAATGATATCTTCAATGTGCTTTATAAATGATGTCTTCTGACGAAACTACCCCGGGGGGGTCACTCGACCCYGTTTTGGATAGGTACGTGCCGCCAGCGGTCTAAATCCCTGACCCTGTTTAAGACACTAAAAAGTAAAAATCCATACCCTGTTCAAGACAAATCGGAAAAATAAGGAATAGCTATCTACGCCGCAACCATCAAAACTGCAATTATACTGACATCCATCAAAGACAATAAGAAGTTTTTGATAACACGTTAATTCTGGGACAGTGAAACGGTATTTCTACGGTGTTATGAAAATATTACCCTGTCCAAGACACACAAAAAAATTATATCGGTCTCTTTTATCTAAATTGTAGAGCCTGTTTAAGACAATTTCGGGTGAAATGTATACCCTGTTTAAGACAGCAAGGCCAAAAACCATACCCTGGCCAGCGGCACGTCCCCGTATAGCAAATATATGGGAGTACCCCCCCCGGGGT